CAAAATGGTAAATTGTTCAAGTCCGAAATCCACGGGGCTGAAGTGATCAGCGTCAATGTTGAGAAGTTCCGCAAGCGATACAATGAGCAGGGTTCACGGATGACCATGCACAGCAGTGGCAGCTTTGAAGACAACAGTCTTTCCATTTTGGATGACCCTGCACCTGCTTCAGCTTCCAAGAGTGCTTCGGAGGCGCAAGTGGCACCTGTGATGACTCTTGTTCACATGCGTGCATTTTTTTCCGGGCATTCTTATACTTTTGAATCTGGTGGCTTTGGATATCATGCATGCTCCGAGATGAAAACATATTTAAGGACCAAGGGCCCACCTGAGAAATTGGCATTTCCATCGATCTCTCAAACGACTAACCCGTATCTCATGCTGCCGAACATGCTCCTGGTTCTGGGACGCAAATTGGACAATGCTTTGCAGCTCAAGGCAGCCTGTTGTGTGCATTTATAGTTTTGAGTCTGCATGTGTGTTACTTTTGGTAGGGGATGCATGTTTGCTCAAAGGAGAAACTTGATTCCTGTCCCAGCTGCAAACGAGCGGTGGAGTCAGGGCCTTTGTGAACAGCTCTCATGGTTTGAACCTCTGGCCTACTACAACCATTCCGAACGTGCCTGTTCAGAGGTATTCGTCTGGGATCACTGAACCGCTGACGAAGCTGCAAACGTACCACAAGCAGCTCATCCAGCATCAGTCTGATGCAATTGCTAGCAGCCCCGACAGGCTTGGAGTCCAGCGCGCACGAACATGATTTGTCCAACTGCAGCAGTGACTCTTTGAAGCTGTCTGCAGGACGAAAAAGGACAGTCTGGTCCAACTGTTCATTGAGATGACGAAGCAGGATTTAGCAATGAACCTGTATGTTGTCAGGGCCAAGTCACTTCCTCAGGTGAATGAATGTCCTCCACAATGAATGAATGAACAAGTGCAAGTCTGCACTGGAATTTGGAAGTGCTACTGATTGAGGACATGGAAGCCTCCTGTCACCGAGGAGGAGCGGAAGGCAAAGGAGCAGGAAAAGAGAAACAAAGTGGCTGCAACCAAGAAAAGCAAGAAAGGAAAGAAAGAAAAAAAAAGAAAAGAAAAAAAAGACCAAGAAGGGTCAGGAAGTCAAGAAGGAAGCCTCAGCAAGCTCTGTGGCAACAAACGACTTGGATTCTGAAGAGCCGGATTCTGTCGAGGAACCGTTCCTTGTCTATGAGCATGCATGAATCCATGAAACATGGTAGGGCTTGTGCGCAAATATGCAATAAATCACACATCTGACTTTCTTGGGGGCTCATCTATCAAGGCCTAAGAAGAAGGCAAAAAAGTGAACAGGATGGCCTCCACCATGGTACAGACTGTAGTTTTGGACCACGTGTGACCACGTGCTTGGTTCTGCCAGAGATGTGTAAAAAATGCGTTGTCTAAGCTGCTGATGCCCTGTGACACTGGCATGCGGTGCAGTTCTTGGTTGAGTATTTTTTCAAATAAATGTGCACGCATGTGAATGTTTGGAGGCCTTTTCGACCTGCCGGATGAAGGTACGGGATAGATCAGTTTGTCTGTGCATGTGACATGTGTGATAATGTTCGCCGCTTTGGTGGCCTTGTTGGCAGGTCGAAGCAAGGAAACAAAATCCTGCAGATCTCGTAAACGGAAACGACCACGCCAGGAATGTCGACCCCTTGCATGCATGAAGTTAGTGTGTGAGTTTGACAAGCTTTGTTGTTAGCTTGATAACCATGCATGCATGCTCAGGAATAGACCTCAATGATGTCAACAGGCTAGGTGACAAAGAGAATGATCTGGATATTGTCCTGCTCGATGCAATGATTGAAGGGTTTGATACAGGAGTTTCTTGGTTCTCACAAGGTGCTGCTGGCAGCATCTTTCTTTTGCAAACCCTCAATCCGAGGCTGACTCGGCAAGGCATGTTGTATCCATGGGTCAGCTGTTTGACCAAATGCGGACGCCAGGTGGATGTCGCTTGCTGAGATCTGATGTTTCTCTTGGGTTGAACTAATATGATGTGATCATTACTGTCTTGCTTCTTACAAAGGCAAAAGCCAGTTGCTTGCACGAATGAAGTCGTGGACCCATAGACGCAATTGGTCCAGAAATCTACACCGTTTGATCTTCAGATTCGGCATGACTCTCAATGTCCTTATCAGCGTCTTGGAAGTTCCGGCGACCTTCAGAGGAAAGCTGGTCAACACACCATGGCCATGTCTTTTGTTCTCGTCCTGGGCAAAGACAATCTTCGACAAGACTGAAGGACAACCTTTGTTGAACGGCCATACTTTGGCCGATGAGCCAGCCTGGCGTGAAGACCTGCGCCGCTTCTGGAAACGATATGGGGAAGCATTTTCCCATCCAGTTTTTCGAGACAAACTGGATTCTTTGGACACTTGTGTACCTTGCTGTTTGCACGGAGACGAAGGGAGAGGCAAACATCGACGTGCAGTCATGGTAACATCTATCCAACCGATGCTGCAGGGAACAGGGCACTCTTTCATCAGTCGCTATCTATTTACAGTTGTTCCGTCTGAATCCTATGCGGATGATGCTACATTTGACATGCTGCAGATGGAGCAGGTGGCAGATCTTCAACGGTTGTATGATGAAGGAATCGAAGATGCTCAGCTACAAACTAGTCTTGCTATTGCGTTGCGCTTTCCTTTTCTGCCATCCAATGTTCAAGGTGACGATGCCTGATGGCACGAAGTGCACATTCTTCATTGTGTTGTGTGGGGTAAAGGGGGACTGGCCCTACATCAGTGGCTTGGCCTGCTGATTCTTGCTGGTGTCTGCACACATGTGACTTTATTTTTCTGTGTGCATTGGCTTGATATTGTGAGGAAAATGCCATAAGTTGAGCGCTGGTTTTGCTTCCTTAAGAGTTTGTCATTACTGCTCCGCTGTTGACGCCTAGCCTGATCAGAACAAAGGTTCACCATGACCAAGCATGTTATGTATTTGTTGCCAGCCGCAGGGAACCTTGCATTGTGTGTTTGAGGACTGGTTTGACATGAAGCCAACTGCTCAGTGGAGGCAGCAACGACCCCATACTCGCGCTGTAAAAGGTTTTGTCAGCCTGCATGCTCTTCCTGGAGGGCACGAGTGTGTGGGTTGTCCAGACCAAATGCATACATGGCACCATGGATATGGACGTGAGTTTGCGTCCAGCGCTATTGCCGCTTTCATGAATATGCCATGGACCACTACATATGTGGTTTTCATTTTATTTTGGCTACCTGCATCTAATTGGTTCCTTTCAGGTTCTCTTGGCCTGTAGATGGCGTGTTTTTGGTGGCAAAACCATTGATGATCGCCTCGAGAATGCCTTTGACAGCTTCACTTCTTGGAGGATCGCTACGAAAACCACGACCTCACTGACCAAGTTTGAACTCAAGACCTTTAAGATGGATTCGCCGCTTGGTCAATGAATCGTCTGCAGTAAGCCAGCAGCCGACTTATATGATTTGTAAATGACTAATAGACTATTTTGTCATTGTCTCTGACAGGCTCGACACCTGGCCAGGAGCATGTGGGAAAGCTCATGACACCACCGCGCTGACGAAATGGATGTTGGATGTTGTGTCAAAGGCCAATTTTCATTATGACCATGTGCCCTGCTTAGTGTCCATATGTTCTTCTTGTGGCGCTTGTGGTAACATTCTCACTACCCTACCATGCCAGATAAGGGAGCGCCTGCTGATGTCCTGGGCCTTCTCGTCTACACGCTCGAGAACATAAACCTTTACTTCACAAGTCTTGGGAAAGACATGTGGATGGAACAGCAAAGAGCACTCACTTGCATAGATGCCTGTCAGAAAATGACAGAATCTCGGTCGGTGATACTGTGGATGATGGGCAAGCAGTACAGAATGAGACAGTCGGGAGGACTACTATCGCGTGTGGCTTTGTCTAAGGAGGGATGTGCTGCTTTGTATGTATGGGCCAAAGGGGCAGGCTTCAAGCTTTTCAAAACGAAACCCAAGCTTCACATGCAGCAGGAGATTTCGAAGCTTGTCTGTATATTCTTAAATTTGTCATGGCATACTGGCATACATCCAATGGTTGCCAACCAGTTGTTTTGCGTACGAGGGAATGGATGAGCGATCAAGTGCGACGAGGTGCACATTACATCTTGTCCCCCAACTGTGTCCTGGCTACAGTAGAGTAGATGTACATGTATAAACGTGGTCGGTGCAGTTTGGCCTGCCAATGTTTTATCAGGCTACGCCACGTGGCAGGATGAAGACTTCATTGGAAGAGCGTCCTGACCGCATGAAACAGGACAGCATGCATGTTGGTTGAAGCTACATGTCCAACATGATGTTGCATTCGTTCACGACCTGATGGTTCCACACCTGATGGCCTGGTGACTGCATGAATGACTGGGCTCAATGACTAGGTTAACAAACCCAGGAAATTGTTTGCATGCATGTGTCGGTGTCTGCACGCATGCTTGAATAGGTGCACGCATGGTTTGTTTGTGCATGCATGGATTTGCATTCATGCGTCATTGCAATGCAAAACATGAACGTGTATACACCCAAACCTGCAGGTTTGCAGAACATCTCGACGTTGTCATGCTTGGAGTTTGGCAATTAGAACGGCACAAAGATGTCTTGGACACTACCGAAGAGTGTGGTGCAAGAAGCATTGGATCAAGCGTGCCGGGTGAAAAAAGTTCAGAATGCTACTTGGGTGATCATGGGAGTGCATGGGTGGTCAATGTATGAAACTATTGACATTCATCTCGAACACATTTTTCGCGAAGAACCTAACTCGAGCACAAACATGTGACTCGAGCACAATTGTTCTGGTACACTTTTTTATGTACCAGTGGAGGCTTCAGGTAGCTGTTGAAAGGGATGTTTGGCACCATTCTTCAAAGAACACGTGTGAACATTGCAACGGAATCATCCAGTGCTATGATGATGTGCTAAGTTGGCCTGCGTCCACTTATCGCGCCTTCCGTCCACTTGGCCGCGTGCTAGGTGAATAACGAGCGTAGCAAGAAGCGGCGGGAGCTGCGGATCTTCCTGCAGACCCGGAGGGTTCCCACTGCAGCTTGGGAGATTCAAGCATTGGTTCATCAAAACTATCGAAACAACAGAGGCCAAGGCAAAACTATTTGGGCACCATCGAGGTCTAGGTTTTTGGGGCGTGTTTGGTGTCTCCTTTTGTGGGACCTCTGGTTTTCCAAACCAGGACTCACTGGGCTTGAAGGTTCAAGAATGTGAGCTTGCTATTTTATATCATGTGAGCATGGCATTGCTAGGAAACTAGATCATTTTTCCCAACTGCAATGGGGTTGATGGCTTTGCTTGTGTCGGGAGTTGGTGACACCACGCTGGTGTATCATGGTGTATCAGGTGTTTTTCCCATTTGTTTAACTGTCCTGGCTGTTTCAAGTCTTTGTGGCTCCACTCGGCCCAAGTCATTCCACATCGACTCACAAGCCTCAGGAACTGTTGATGCGCGTCATGAGTTATGCAGACTACAAGATCGCTCGTCACAGTCCTGTCAGCTATGACAGTGCTTTGGCGGAGAGTTTCATGGATTGTGTTAGGACATGACATGCTCATGCATGCCCTCGCATGTCCTGTGTTTGAAGGTTGATGAATGACATGTTAGCTGCACCAACAAATGCCCGTGGATGAGAACTTGACACCTGATGATAACTTTCCGCTGTCCAAACGTGATTTGATTTCATTGTTTGTGAGTGTATGCAACATAGAAATTGGCAAAACCAAAGTCCTCGAGCCCCGGACATGTTGCACTGACCATGCGCGGGTAGGTTTTTGAGTTGAGGACTTCGCCCATATTCTTGGGCATTCACTGAGGGTGACCTATAATCTTATACATGTTGGCTTGACTGGGTGTGCATCTTTGTAGACATTTCCATAATGTTCAATGTTGTACATTTTCTATATATAATGTGCTCAATTTGCTTTGCTCGCATTGAACCCATGTTGATTCATACGACATGGCCTGATCCTGGTGCAGCAGTCCTGTAACGTTTTGCTGCAATGGCTTGCAGCACCCGACCCGACCACGTCCGACTCAGGCAGCCTTATATCTCCCATGTTGGAGGCCGAACTGGCTATTGTGAACTTCGGCAACATCCTGTTGCTTGGCGTCGAACACGAAGAACACACTCTTCCGTTCGGTGGAAGACATGCAGGGATTTCATCACCTGAAATGGTGATGATGGTGACTCAAATGAACATGCCTAGGATTTGCCCTAGTCGGAGGATGTGTTCTTTCCAAATCAAGGAGGCCCAGCCCTCACATTCAAGGGCTCAAGAAAGAACAGTTTCTGTGGTTGAGGTGACTCAGCCATATAAGAAATAGGAATATCAGCTGGCTGGACAAGCTTGAGCAGCACTTAGCCTGAGGACCGAGCACCCGGTCTTCAATATGGTCCGCACACTATTCCCAAACATCTTCGCTGATTTGTGCTCACCTCAGACCGCTGGTGCGCTTGAGATCTTCGGCAGTCCGAAAGGGAAACTCTCAAGCAAAATCTACGAAAAAAGAAAGACTATTTGATGAGATTCAAATGTCATCAAAATCAATCAAGCAATCAATGTCTTAGAGAGGTTGTCATGCGGCGAAATTCCATGACACCTCAGAGGATTAGAACCAGGATGAACTAGGATGGTTGAGCATCTCTATATGGGGTTGTGAATCAACCGTAGCGTCAAACAAGCTTAAGAGTCCTAAGTATGGCCATTTCTTTTCTCAAAGGCCGTGAAGCTTAACCATGGAATGTGAAGAGATTTGCCCCATGATGTTGCTTGGTCTTTAGTAAGTAGGGAATGACAATGGATTTGACACAGTTGGAAAATATTTGGCACTACTGTGGCCACTAGATGCCACTAGCTTCTGACCATGAGTCACCCTGGACACCTGCAAGATTTAAGGTTTTAGCATGGACCTCTCCTCACCATGCAAGAAATCCATCGCTTCAGTCCTGGCTTCGGGTCGACCCGTCTCGACCATCGATCCGACAGGTCGAGACAGGTGTCGGGTCTGTGGTCACCGGGGGGGGCCGAAGGACAGAAGGACCGATGGTCAGACTGGTCAGGTCGGCGGTTTCTGCGGTTTCTGCGGTGGTCGGCCGTGCGTCCAGTGCCGAGGTGCAACTCGTTGGAGAAGAGATACTTTTGCGAGATGGAGTATGTGTTTCACGCAGGCAGTTGGACAGGAGTGACAAAAAAAAAACTATCCCTGCTGATGTTGGTGTGTTTCTGCGGGCTTTCTCTGAGAAAAAATATCTTTAAGTTATATACGTAGTAGTCTCTCCGGAAGGAAAAGATTGTGATTGTCAGGACCAAGGCATGCAACACGCGTTAACCTTGAACATTTACAATAGTCTACCGGATTCTCAATTCAGTGGATTGATATTGGCCTGCCTTCAGATGCGCAGACTAAGTCACTAGAGATTCTTAGGCGCCTGTGAATGTTTTGTGTCCTTTGCCTGTGATCGGCCTGTTGTTCCTCTTTGCGCTTCAGGCACGCTTGTGGAAATGATACTTGGCTTGGGAAGCCAAAAACCGTACCTTGAAAGAGGGTGTTGCTCTCAGCTGTTGCAAGCTCACAGAGATGCATGAAACAGCATATATGTATATACATATATATATATAAGCTCCCAAATCACTGGCTTGTACAGAAAGATAGTTTTGCGGGGTGGTTGTTTTGTCTGGGGAGTGTAAACCAGGACCAGCAACGAAGTGAGAGACCTGAAAAAAACACCGTGTGATGCATTTAACTGTCAATATCATGCACCTGGCTCGCCCTGGTCATGAAGTACATTAAGTGAAGATCAAGGAAGTGGTTGGGCCACGCGGCTTGTGAACAGTCATAACAGCCCGGAGAGATCCCCCAGAAATGGGGTAGAGTCTTGAAACATGAAAATACATGAACAACTTCAGCAGTTTGCAGACGTGTTCAAGATCAATAGTTGTTGTGCACATTTTGACGTGTTGGACGAAAAGGTGGCGAAGGATGAAACCACGGTGTTGTTTTGTCCATCGAGAAGATCTCCTACTTAGTATATATAATAAACATACTTATCACTTGGAGTTGATACATAGGTGATCATAGTAGGTGGCTTCGAGCAACGCTGTCAGCCGTTTTCCTCTTGCTGTGATCTTGAAAGGACAACATGTAGGTCCTGTCCTGCCCCATTGTCCAGCACTAGCAGCCATCCCGGTCAATCCCCACCCCACTCGTGCCCAGGATGTACATCACCAGTCATGGCACTTTTTCCTTGATGAAGGACCGGGAACCGCATCGACCGGGCACCCCGTCTTTGTCACTCGACCGGGTCGGCACGGGTCACTCGACTGGACACGACTAGACTGAGATCCACCTCTTGGTCGGCCAAATGTGGCGTTGTATGATGTACGTGTTGTGGGATTGGACATGTCTCACGGAGAAGCACTTGGATGCACCTGGTTGTGGTCAAGCGAGCAGGGTTCATGTGATTGATTTAGGGTCTCAATGTTTGCCGAGTGAAGTTGCAACAAGAGGGGGTTCCTTTTAGCGCGATCAAGCGGGAGTGTTTGCATGTATCAACAGTGCCAGGAGGGTGGCAGAGTGGTCAAAGCTACTACCAAATCCCATGGCCAAAAGTTGCAGATAGGCCGACCAATTCCTTTACTGGTATTATAAGATGATGTTAACAGCTTCAGCTTGAGGTACTTAGCACAAACTGTTTGGACAAAACTCTCCGGTGGATTTGGCACGGCCTGCAGGAAATAGATCGGAAGTTAGAAGCCACGGCTGAAACTGATCGGGGCCATGAAGGGCCAGAACATGCTCTTTTGCTTCTCTTCCCACTGAAGCAAACAAGCAAACCCACTGCTGTGTTTCCCGCACCGGTTGCTCCCACCCGCTCACGGAGTCACCCATGAAGGCGCTGACCGGTCAGGACAAGAAGGCATCCAAAGTAAATACCTTCACGGATGAGCGGCACTACTTCGGGGAGGCCCAGTTGGGATGCGAGAGCCAATGGATACTGTGGGAAAGCAACATGTTGCCATATATTTGCCAAAGGCCTTTGAAGCGTAAGTAAGGACCACACCCCCTTAACAGCAAGAAACGTGCAAACAAGCGGGCAAACGGGCACAGTGGCGGGCATCGGTGGCGAACGGGGTCAGAAATCAACGGCGGTGACGGAGCCTGAAGAACCAGGGTCACTCCTTGGACGAAGAACGGCATCAACTCATGTTCCAGAAAGAAGAGGCTCGTCGGTATGCTCAACAAACTATCCCAAAAATCCAAAAACGTCCAAAGACTACTATAGACGGAAGAATGCATTGACTGCTAACAATGAAATCATAATATATAGTGTGCGATTGACTTGCAAATTTGGAATGTTTAAATTAAATGTTGTTTTGCACAGGGCCAATGAGTGCATATTAGTTAGTAGTTACAGTTCCGAATGGGGACCAACAACATGTTCTACGACCTACGTACCCTGCATGAAAATCGCTGATTTACGGCGCATCAGAATTAGAACCAGAACTGTCCCCTGTATTTGGACTCTTTTTAAGCCACTTTCATGATTGTTCATGCATGTAGCAATCCAATATTGGGCTCATGTAGCCTTCTTAGTCCGGTCAGGTGGCCCTGTACGTGGAAGCCGCTTTGCATCCTTTCGCCCTTCAGACGGCTTCCTTTGCGGAGGTCTTTGTGCTTTCGGTAAGTACTTGGGCTGTGTATGGTAGTGGGTCTAGGCCAAGCTTTCGCTCAAACAAAGGACTTGGACCAACATTTGTTAGATGTTTCTGTGTCAACGCCGAAGCTGCCGTTCTTCACACAGCTTTCTCCATGCGTTCTGCGCGCCCAGGTAGATTGACCAATGTGCTGGTGAACTCACCCCTATGCGCCACGATGTTCGTGGAATATGCCACCGACTCTTTGGCCGAACTTCGATAAGGCTAGCCAAATACCGCAATATTCACCAAAAAATAACAAAACAGCTGGATTTGACAGATGGCAATAGAGGGGAGAGAGAGAGAGAGTGAGAGAGAGAGAGAGATAGACTAGATAGAAGTATATAGACAACAAAACAACAACAACAACAACAACAACAACAACACCAGCAACAACAGCAACAACAGCAACAACAACAACAACACCAGCAACAACAGCAACAACAGCAACAGCAACAGCAATGTTGTGGCTACCATCAATTGACAGCAGAGGCAGAGAGGATGTGAGATGCTGAGGATTTCATTGGGCGTTACAAAGTGCCAATGCAGCCAACTTGGGAGGAGGTAGATGACCTTGTGCCCCGGCATGTTTCGTACAAAGCCTGTACTCAAGATGAACATTCTTATTGAAGGATATTGAAGGACTGATCAAATCTTACAGATAGTCATAGTATGTGATAGTATAGCATAGTATAGCCACATCATGTGCCGTATGCTTTTGTTTTGTGCCCTAGACTAGACCGCATTTATTCAGTTTCACCTCGCAGGCTCGACGCAGAAACAGCACCGTTCAGCAACCGACCAGGCGTCGTCGTGACGGGAGGTGACGGGAGCTGTTTCGCTTAGCGCTCAGGTGAGGTTGCAGGAGGAATGTGCTCGGGAGTCCTGTGACCCTTGGCCGCCATTGGCCCAAGAACCACCTCCCGAAGATGGATTGGGGCAAGCTGGATTCCGATCTTGGGCTGGTCCTGCACTCATCACCAGCTAGCATCAGCTAGCTGCAGTTGCTTTTGTCTTAGAAAGTTGGCTCGGGGCCAGAATTGCCAGAACCCAGAAACATTCCACCGCTAGGGGCCCCGCCGTTCGACTCCACTGGCCGCTCTTTGCACTGCCTTCTTCACCTGGCCCTGCTCGCTTTCGTCAGGTGATCATAAGGGAATTCCCGGATTCCGTGCAATGAATGGATTCGTTGGCAGAACCCTGCAAAGCACCCAAGAGAATGGAACAGGTAGCAGCAAGACCCCAAATCCAAAGGAACAGGCACACCATATGTATGGGTACTTGGAGGGTCCAGGTATACATACGGTGGATTGTTTACAGGTCATTGATTGAGTCTAGCCGTACCCTCCAACAAGTTCTGTTCTGAGATGTTCTGAGCACCCTAGCACGTGCCTGGAGGGTGTTCCTTAAAGCGCTTTGGATCGGTCACGGGGTTGACTGTCTGGTCACCACGTTGCTTTCCAAACCGAAGTAAGAGCTTCCAGACCACACAAAAGCTGCAGCACTTCCGGCAGAAATCACCAACACAATGCCAGGATGGTTTTTCCATAGCATGTGTGTAGTCATGTGTGTGTGGTCGAGGGCAGTGCATAAGCATCATCCGAACTTGACTGAGGCAAACAACTCCTTTGCCTTGCCCATCAACCTGGACAGCCGGAAGTACTTGGCACACCTGGACTTGCGCTACATCCAGGTGACCCTGACACTATCCCAGGAAGCTTTCCCTGACCTTGAAAGACATACCTTGTGACTTGTAGAAACCATATTGTTTCTTGTCGTTTTCGGGTGCCATGCATCCTTGTTTATCCTTGTGTAGTGTAGTGCCTGGTCCTTTGCTCTTGCCCCGCACCACATCCTCCACCTCCGATGTAAGTGGTCCCAAATTCGTTGCGTAAGTGATCCCTCCGATGCACAAGTGATCTACCCGCCCCTGCGGGGAGGGCCAGGAGCCCCTAGTAGCGTCCTTACTCCTAGTAGTAAGGTTGAGCAATTTGTATCTGAAACATGGACCCTGAAAGCACTTGCTTCCAGCTATGCCATCTTCATTTTCAGAACCCGAGCAGACGGGGGATGCCCAGTCCAGGGTTCCTAGTCCAATTTTCAAGGTTCCCATTGACCTTCCCCCCTGGATGCCCTGCAGGATGACTTTGATTCTTGTGCCCGGTTCAGGCAAGAAATAAAGGTTTCTTTCCGCACGAAGCCACATTCTCTCGCCTTTGTTTCATCATGTTTCATCAATGGGCACGCTGCTAGCCACCAAAGTAGGTAATGCAGACAAAGCAAAAAGCATAAATAGCAATCTTTCTGTCCTCGGCAGAGGAAGCAGCAGCAACTTGTGAAACTCCACACTTTGAATTAAAAAGGAGGACTCAAATGGACTCAATGTGTGTATATATATATATATACATCCGTTTTTGGATCCGATTTGATACCTTTCTTGATGGGAAAAAGGATTGAAAAGACACGAAAAGGCTATAGTGTTTTTCTTTTTTATCAAGGATGATCAAGGTGTTACCTCATGTTCCAGCTATGTCAACACAAGACACCTCAGCTCAGTCTCTATCCTTTTTGTTCGTTCCGTTCGTTCGCACGTTTGTTTAGCCGTTTCCCGTTTGGGGTCCGCGACTCCGACCGATTCTGTGGGAGGCCGATCCGACTTGCTCTACCCAGGTGCGTGATGGGTGTGGAGAGGGACGGTGTCAACTGGTGACGAAAGACCCTTCGAGGGTTTTTCACGTGGGTCTCAAGACTCAAGACTTTTTACTGTTTTCTAACTCGACTGAGAGCCCTTCCAGTTTTGCAAACCTTATTTCCTTCCCGGCCACCGAACACCGCTGAACAGGCATCGGTCTTCCTATACCGACGGTCTTCGGCACTAGGTCACCACACGGTCTGCCACATGGTCACCACGGTCTACCCAGGTCTCATCGAGAACGGGGGGTGAAGTTGTGAAGAAGCCTGCCAATTCTTTGAGGGAAACCATGGGAAACCCATCAAAAGGTCAAACACATGTAGAAAACCACCCAAAACATTGAAACACCAGGTGAGACCTGCACGGACCCTCTCGACTTCTTCCCCATGTCTCCCGTGCCTTTGATGCCACCATGCACCCAGCGTGCTCAGGCCGCTCTGGAGACTCTGGAGGACTCGGAGATGGATCCGGCCAGGACGGTCCTGAAGGAGTTCATCGCGGAGGTCGTCCACAGCGAGGAGGCCCTTTGGTGGTAGATCACCTTGGACCCAGCGGTGGATCCTGCTGGGTCCGGATGTGTCGGTGATTTGGTAGATGATGGTTGTACATGGTGGGTCATAGATCAACTGTAAGATCACATTGAATTGATGGGAGGGCCCAAGAAAGTGGATGTATTGAACCGGATGTCCGCGGTTTTTCGCCAGGCCTCGGCGGCGGAGACTCTGTTGAAGCTCCGCGAAGCCTACGTGGAGTTGGACGTGAGGGACCGAAAGCGAGTTCGATGGATCGAGAGGGAGCGAGAAGGAGGTCAGGTTCCTAGGCAGACCAAGGTCCAGGCAGGAGCCACTGTCCACACTGATTGTTGGGGTGATCAACCCATGAATCCATGAGAATGTATGGAATTCTTGGTCTCTCGATGGCGAAGTAAACCCAGATCAAGCAATTGCAGGTAAGATCCTCTACTGATTCACCTTCAAATATACTTTGATCATCTTTGATCCTTGAAGAGACTTGGTTTTGGGACGTCAATGCCGCCCATCCTCCAGGATGGGCTACATGCACGATTCTCGGAGCCCATGGAGCAAGAGCGGGCGCGGGATGGCGTCGAGAATCGTCAAGACATGTCGAATCCGCGGGGGTCCTGAGCAGACGGTGTCCATGGTGCTCGATGTTTTGGGCAAGCTTATGCCTCTCAGCTACTAGGAGCAAGGGGCATCGCTACTAGGAGCAAGGACGCTACTAAGGGCTCCTGGCCTTACTAAATGAATCGTTATTGGGGGGGTAATGGGTGCATGTCAAAGTCTGTTTACCACGGGTGAGTTTCTTGCAGTTTGCCCTGAAGCGCAGTTTGCTCACTTAAAAATTAGACTCTTATGCCACTTATGCCTTAGATATTGCGTGTCTTTGCGATCCCTTCTCAGTTCAAATCGCCAGGCCGAATCGGGAATTCTGAGCCTCATCGCATTGGTGAGACGGGACTACGAAATGTCACTTGGCAGTTGACATATGCTTTGCGTCTCAAGACTTGCAGAGCTCCCTCTTGTGCCTCACAGTTTGAGGACTATCCTTCATGGTTATAATATAAGATGGTCATCCTTCCAGAGGAATACTAGTAGGTGGCCTTTCAGTTGTTTGGACATAACGTCATTTCCCCAACACTCCGTGGCCAGGCAATGCCGGGCATGTTCACTTACATTGGGGTGGTTTCAGGATGTTTCAGGCGTCCATGTCGCCATATTACTTAAAACCTATTCCATACATAGGAGAGTTTGGGTTTGTTGCTGCTGAACATCGAGTTCCGCCGAGCTCGGTCATAGCTCCGAGAAGCCCAGGTTTGTGACCCCCCAAAAGGCGGACATGGCCCTGTCGCGGGCCCAATGGGATGCATTGCAGGACCGGGGCAGCACCAAAAGGGATCGTTGTCATGCGGCCGTGCCAAGAACCCCCCAATAGACATATGGATATAACATTACTGTATTTGTGTTAAACATCTATATATATGTAATGTTGGATCCTGATTAGTAATAGGTTCCTCTATAATGCTTTTTTGGGGGGGGATCCTAATTTTTTATTATCTGAACAATATTTGTGGTTATTTTTTCCTTCTGAACCCTGTCCCTGCACTCCCACTCCCTTCCCGGGCAAGCAGCCAGCAGCAGCACAACAAAACACTAACAACCACACAGAAACCACATCAGGTGTTACAACCCTGGTCCTTGGCTGAGGTAAGACTGCTTCTTGGCCTGAGCTGCCTCCTTGTGGAGGTGGTATCTGAGGCATTTGTAGGGGTCACATGCCAAGCACCCAGATTGCCACCTGCACCTGTCCAATGCAGTTTCTAAGGCCAAGACAGCCTCAGTAGCAGACTCAGACAAATTCTTCCAGGTGAAGGTGACTGAGTTCTTATCCACCAGCTGCTGAGCAGTGATGTAAGCCTGAGTGGTGACATTCTTGAGGGTCTTGAGCTTGGCCTGGGCCTTCCCAGAGTTTGTTTCACCTCAGCTTGCTGCTTGGAGAGCTTGTCTTGCTCTTTCTGAACTGCCTCAGTCAAAGCTTCAGCTTCTGAGGCCAGCTTGTCAGAGGCTGTCTTCAATCTTTGCTTCCATGCTTTCCAGCCTGCCTCAGGCCAAACTGAAAGCCATTCACCCCTCAAGGTTCTGAGCTCACTCTCCATGTAGTGGAGCACATAGCCACCACAGGCATTGGAGCCAATGGGCTGCTTGGCCACATTCCTGAGAGGTGGCAGCTCAAGCTTAGGGTCCAGCAGCTTTCCCATCCTCAGTTGGATAGGGTGGGACTCCGCATGCTCCTGGCTGAGGGTGTCATACCTTCTCCATGTGATGGGCTGCTGAGGGCCTTCGCGCTCACCCACCAGTAGGGTCCAGTGGAAGGGTGCATAGATGGACCTTGGTGGACTCAAGCCAGTGGTCCTGAATGCCAGCCTCCAAGCCTGCCAGCTCATAGGGGTCATCTTGCTCATTGAGAATCTTGCTGAGGATGGGGTCAACACAGTTGATTCCCAGCTCCTCAGGGCTTGGCATATTGTTCTTTCTCATCATCCATCTGAGAAGAACCCACCCCATCCACACATGCTGGTCTTCAAGCTCAGCAACCTCTAAAGGGCAGGGAAGAATTGTGTGGAAGGACCACTCTTCTTTCTTCAATGAGATCTGGTCCTCAGGGTTGCTGCTGAGCAGCCTCAACATGAGCTTGGTGTCAGCCTTGCTGAGCTGGCTCCACTTGGGCCATGTGGCTGGCTTGACAGCTTGCTGTGTAAGGTGGAGAAACCACGTATCGGAAGGGCGGAGATGCATTTTCGCTCCAAGCGCCCAGCTCCCCCCCCCCCATGCCGAACATTGGCCCAAATGTTCCTCCAAAACTAGTAGAGCGAACCTTGCGGGATTGTCGACCAATTTGGTACACCCCGCCCTAGGGTTGGACGGCTTATGTGCCGACAATGATTGGAAGCAGATGGGCCCAGACCGCAACCTGCAGGACATCCTCGAGTGGGCGCAACCTAACCCTGACAAGCTCGCGGGTGCCATGCGCCTCGAAGTGAATGCCGTGTACATTTTAGCCAGCATGGTAGATGTGGCTGAGAACTGTGCCAAGGTCGAAACATGTTGGAAAAATTGTTTCCAGGTTCCTTGTCAGAGGATGCAGCGAGGGAATCTTTTAGAGGGGCCTTTAATTTTCCAAGCGCACGTTGGAGCTCTACCCCTGTGAACCATTGTTTTGTCCATGATCAAGTACATGGATTGCATCCACTTGCACTATCATCCACAGCCCTTAGAGTAACGAATTGCGAGAATTGAGCAGTCGAGTGGTACCTGAATGGCCTCTCCCAAGCAGCAGGACTTGCGATCCTTAGTGACTCAGTGAGGTACTGGAACCGGTCGGTGCTATACGTGACATGCAATTTTTTGGTATGGATCATGATCAAATGGTGTTTATTGATGTATTGTGGTCACATATGTCAATCCGTTGTAAACCACGGGATGAACGCATAATAAACATCATTGAGTCCACATGACCATGAATTCCCCAGACCTGCCCGCGGCCATCTCAAAGCGTAGCGCACTGGAGACCGAGGTTTTTGGTAGCCATCAAAGGCTTAGGCAGGGCTGCCTGTCCAGCCTGCGGGCACTGTAAAGCGCATCGGGTGGTTGAAGCGAAAGACCCATTTGCTAGACGCGAAAGACTAATCCTGGGAACAGACTGTGCTCGCCCAACTGGACCTGCTACGTTTAAGAATCAGAAACAGCTCAGTAGCAGTATAGCAGTATATATATATATATATATTTAGAAGGAAGGTACTTTTGTGGGGCACCAAAGTCTTTGACAGAGACTTAATGCTGGGCATGGGTTGTTTGACCACCTTGTCGCAGATGGGCGCTTTGCAAGTGATATCACGAGGGACGGACTGTGTGATTTCAGTATTGAACGATGGGACTCCATAGGAAGGTGTGTTTCTCAGCATGCAATCGCTGCACCTTGCCGCAAAAAAATTGTTGGTATTCTGGAAGGTCGTCCCCAGCACATCATCCCGAAAATTTTGGTGCTAGCACCTAAAGCATCAATCGGCTGGCTGCTACATTCCAAAAACAATATTTGTGCGTGTCTGAAGAGCACTTTCATCCGCCATTGGACACACAAGTTGCCTCCTAGGTCCTAGCCACTTAGTCGGAGCCACTTGGCTTACTCGTAATTAAGCAACAAAATCAACAAACCGCACCCGTTTGCCGATGAATTTTCGCTGTTGCAGAGCCTCGGCTCGGAGGTAAGTTCAGGAGCCTCACGGGGCAAATGCCCCGCGAAGACCAAAGGCCCGAGAAAGCTTTGCTCTACTTGTTGCGGAGGCTTGGCTGCAGGAGGCCCCCTGGTGCGACGGGACATGCAAGAAGCCACCGTCAGTCATGCGGGTCGTCCATCTGAAGAAGTGTGAGGTCTCAGCAGAACACCTGCCCATTTGATGCTTGGGTCGTGTACAAGCAGTTATTGTTGGTAGGCTCAATGAGCGTTACGCTACTGACGCTACTGCTGTTGGTTATGCTGCTGCGTTTTTTTTGGAGCATGCATGTGGTCGATGTCTTTGATGATCTCCATTTGCAGACCAACCCTTTGACATGCACACTGTCACATTTGCATACGCACCATCAATGCATCATCATAATTCTACCAAAGGGCTTTACGCAAACAAGGATTTCATGTCGACATGTCTTCTTTTTTTTGCACAACTTGATGGGTCCCCTCAGCCCATCCCCACAGACCTCAAAAGATGGGAGAGTTGGGAATTCTGTCAGCTTTGGCACATGGAGAAGACTGTCATCTGATATGTTTCACATCTTGACAGCATGAACGGTAAAAAGAAGGTGCATGTTTTCTGAACGAGCTATCCGTACGTCCTTAATATCTCTTAGCCGGTTGACCGATTGCTAAGTCACCTTTTCGAGGCACAAGTCTTCAACCAGTCTTCCTTTGAACCGAGGTTTCATCCGCATGCGGTGCCGAGCTTGAATGAGATGAGCGAGGAGGCGCAGGCGCTGACGGCCGGAACAGCGAAAGGGCTTGAATATGTTTAGGAAACGATGCTCTTGGTCGCATGGCCGCAGCCGCAGCATAAGTCTTTTTAAGGAGATCCATTGATTGTAGAAAGGGTGGTTTCATTTGTGAGCAAGGGGGTTGCTGCTATACACACCTGCGCTCGAGGCCCAGATCCAAAACAACAGTGGCATAGGCATAGCCATGCATAGCTGTAGAATATCAACACCTATAGACCCACCTGAGCTTTTCAATGCTTTTCACATGACTGCTAAAAGATGCAAACAATAAACGGTCTCGCAGGAGTTTGTGATCGGAATCTTGGAGCTTCAACAGTCCTTCAACTTTGCTCAAATGCTCCAGGCCGCGGTTTGAGGGACCGGGCGTGCATACACCCAGCGGCTGGTACTGTAGCAATTCTGGAATTCGGCAGGGGTGTTGCCACAGGCAGAGGTAAGTGGCCGGCCGTAAACGTGAAGTGGCAATCCACTCCTTTCGACATGTTCTTTCGTCGGAATGTGATTGGTGCACTGGGTGGGCTCAAGCTAGACATGTCCAGCGGTGGCACGCACGCGCAGGCCGAGAATGTGCCCGCCAACCTAGCGAAGCCTCTTGGATTCAGGGATCTAGACTGAAAATCCATCAAGCCACCCACCGACAACCGCATGAACGCTGAGCATCAGGACCCGCAAAAGAATGGACGGCGCATCATGGGACGAAACGGCTCGTGGATCTGGTGGGGCGCACAGCTCGCGGCAGTCTGCCGAAACGGCTCATTGGTGTGCCGTGTTTGATACATTGCTCGGTGGGACCGGTTCGTGAAGACTAGGCCCTGGCCTTGGCTCAAGGCGAGCCAGTGACTTTGTGCAGGTTGCCCATTGCGAAATTCCGTTTCTGCAACAACGAATCAATTAAACTGACCCCTTTGTCTATTGATGGCTGTCATTTGCCTTTCCAAGTGTGGCCAAGACCCCAAATTGCGTTTCCGTATGCCGGTGGGCTATTCACTCGTCTCCCAGCAGCTGCATGCCCATACTCTCCTGGGCGTTTCACGGGCTCGGCCTTTCGGTAAAACGCCGGTTTGTCAGCCGGTTCCGCTGAGGCTTCAAGCACAAATTCGAGAGCGACAAGGCATTGATCTCTTGAAGTTTTACGTGCTCTTTCTCTTGGCCTTCATGAGTGGTTTAGCTGGCGGACGGGGATCACGCCTCTCACCTGAAGCCTGAAATCTGCCGGGAGTTGCTGGGATCGCCGGTGTGCCATGGACGAAGCAGCTGGTTCACCAGCCAGTTTGGGGGATCCATGAAGGTGAAGTTCACCCGATCCAGATCCTCCCTGCGTGGAGAGTGGCTGAACCGCACAGGAGCAACATGATATGTTTCTGATACTTTTGCTACCAATGGGAACAAATGCAGATTTGTGATTTGAGTGAGCATTTCTGGGCGAATGGTATCTGATTGCTGAGGCTGAGGCAGCTGTATATTATATATATATATATATCTGTGTGTGTGTGTTTTAACTGTTGCAATATGTCATTATATGATATGTGATGTGATGATTATATGTAAATGAGCTGATTTTCCTTTCCACCAGGAATCATGTTGTTGAGAAATAGACCACTCGAGGCAGGCTGAACATAAACACTATACAGTAAATTTTACACACTGCCTTTTTGGTTTTGCTCCGAAACCACTGCCCAAGCTCATGAGTGTAGACCTTAAAGCTCCCCCGTGGGCTTGTGCAATTGTCATGCATAAGGTTTGATGCGTGATTAGTGGTCAGTTTGCGGCAACACTCACATAAGTACAAATACAATCATTTTAATACCCGCTTGCGGCTTAGCACCACTTTCATGTCACTGCAACGTGGACACTGGCCCTGGCAGCGTAAGAGACTCACAGTTGAAAACCCTCATCCTTGGTGTTGAACTCTTTGCGCTGCTATTGGGTTGGAGGCCATCGCTCTTAGGTTGGAGGCCATCCCTCTTAGGTTGGAGGGCCATTGCTATTATGTTGCAGGCCATTGCCATTACGTAGGTTGGAGGCCATCGCTATTACGTAGGTTGGAGGCCATCGCTATTAGGTTGCAGGCCATCGCTATTAGGTTGGAGGCCATTGCTATTAGGTTGGAGGCCATTGCGATTAGGTTGGAGGCCATTGCTGTTAGGTTGGAGGCCATTGCTGTTAGGTTGCAGGCCATCACTGTTAGGTTGCAGGCCATTGCCATTACGTAGGTGGGAGGGCATTGCTATTAGGTTGAGGCCATCGCTATTAGGTTGCAGGCCATTGCTACTACGTAGGTTGGAGGCCATCGCTATTGGTTGGAGGCGATCGCTATTAGGTTGGAGGCCATTGCTATTAGGTTGGAGGCCATTGCTATTAGGTTGGAGGCCATTGCTATTAGGTTGAAGGCCATTGCTATTAGGTTGGAGGCCATTGCTATTGGGTTGGAGGCCATTGCTATTAGGTTGGAGGCCATTGCTATTGGGTTGGAGTGCCATTGCTACTGGGTTGAGGGGTTAGAGGCCATTGCTATTAATTAGGTTGGAGGCCATTGCTATTAGGTTGGAGGCCATTGCTATTAGGTTGGAGGCCATTGCTATTAGGTTGGAAGCCATTGCTATTGGGTTGGAGGCCATTGCTATTAGGTTGGAGGTTGCTACTGGGTTGAGGGGTTGGAGGCCGTTGCTATTAGGTTGGAGGCCATTGCTATTAGGTTGGAAGCCATTGCCATTAGGTTGGAGGCCATTGCTATTAGGTTGGAGGCCATTGCTATTGGGTTGGAGTGCCATTGCTACTGGGGTGAGGCGTTAGAGGCCATTGCTATTAGGTTGGAGGCCATTGCTATTAGGTTTTGAGGCCATTGCTATTGGGTTGGAGGCCATTGCTATTGGGTTAGAGGCCATTGCTATTAGGTTGGAGGCCATTGCTATTAGGTTGGAGGCCAATGCTGTTGGGTTGGAGGCCATTCCTATTAGGTTGGAGGCCATTGCTATCAGGTTGGAGGCCATTGCTATTAGGTTGGAAGCCATTGCTATTAGGTTGGAGGCCATTGCTATTAGGTTGGACGCCATTGCTATTGGGTTGGAGTGCGATTGCTACTGGGTTGAGTTGGAGGCCATCATTGCTACTGGGTTGAGGGGTTGGAGGCCATTGCTATTAGGTTGGAGGCCATTGCTACTAGGTTGAAGGCCATTGTTATTAGGTTGGAGGCCATTGTTATTGGGTTGGAGGCCATTGCTATTGGGTTGGAGGCCATTGCTATTG